GCTTTTAATGCACAGGGAGACAGTTCAGGGGTCAGGAGTGCATGGAGGGATGGACACAGGGAAGAGGTGACTATCGGGAGGAAGTGGGAGGGGAGCTGTTGCATTGGGGTGAATTGTAGTCAATGTCATGAGACAATGTGTATGTGAACTGCTGTATGAAAAGTGAATTTGCTCTGTAGACTTTCCCCTAAATCACAATAAAATAATAGTAGTAGTAGTAGTAGTAGTAGTAGTAGTAGTAGTAATAGTAATAGTAGTAGTAGTAATAATACTGTCAAAGAGATGGAAACAACCTAAGTGCCCATCAACCAAGGAATGGATGACCTAACTGTGGTACATACACACAATGGAATACCACACAACCCTAAGTAATAATGTAGAATCTGCAAAACACCACATAACATGAATGAACTTGGAGGACATTATGCTTATCTTATAAGTCAATCACAGAAGGATATATATTGTATTAATGCACTATTGCAAAAAGTCAAGGAAAGGCTTATATTTGGAAGGAAAATTTATTTGTTGGTTACCAGGGATGGGAGGAGAGGAAAAATTCTTAGATAGGTTGAAAGAAAAAAAACAAAAAACAATATATATACATATTTAAACACACACACACACACACACACATACACACATACCAAAGTGGTTACCAGGGATAGGAGGGAGGAGGAAAGGGGAAGCTTTTGTTTGCGGGGCATTGAGTTTATGCTAATGGTGGTAGAATATTTTGGAAAAGGATAGCAATAATGGTGACACAACATGGAAAATATCATTAATGTCCCTGAGCAGTAAGTAGAAGTTGTTATGTTGGTGAATGTCTTGTTGTGTATGTTTCCACCACATTAAAAGTAATAATAATAATAATAAAATTGACATCTCTTTCACCATCAGTTTAAGAATAACCACACCCATGAAAGCATGTAGGCCAGCCACTTCATGCCTTTGTCTTCTCCCATTTTAGATAGCCAATTTCTAATTTACCCATCCCTATTAATTTGTTGTTGTTGTTTGCCGTCGAGTCGGCCCTGACTCATAGCGACCCCTCCTTGGGTTTCCGAGGCAGTATCACTACGGAAGTAGGATTGCCCAACCTAGAGGAGTGGCTGGTGGGTTTGAACCGCCAGCCTTCTGGTGAGCAGTCAAGTGCCTTAGGCACTACGCTACCAGAGCTCCTCTATTAATTTAGCCATCCCTATCAAATGAGTGGGAGCTCTGGTAGCGTAGTGCCTAAGGCACTTGACTGCTCACCAGAAGGCTGGCGGTTCAAACCCACTTGCCACTCCTCAGACGGAAGGTTGGGCAATTTACTTCCGTAGTGATACTGCCTCAGCAACCCAAGGAAGGGTCACTATGAGTCTGGGCCGACTTGATGGCACATAACAACAACAACAACAACAACAACAAACGAGTACTCTGAGGAGAAAAGTGTGTTCTTTTCTCTGGAGAATCATGTGTTCTGCTTGGAAACTTTGGGAATCTGCATCCATAAACAAGCAAAGTCTAGCCCAATGCAAGCCATCAAATCGCAGCAACTCAACACCAGCTCAGACATCTTCCTCTACTTTTGGCCGGGTTCTGGTCAGCTCAACCCTAACTATCCCAGCTAGGTCATGGGTTCCAGCTGCCAAGTTTGGGAGTCACAGTCTTTCCTTCACTTCAGACCAGCCAGCACCTTCTCTCACATCCTCAGTCCTCAGGGATTATTTCAATGCCATAGGCTCACAACTCTTTGCCCTTCAGACCAGGCAGCCCTTTCTCTCATCCCCAGTCTCCGTGGCCTAGGTCAAAGATTACCAAACTCAGCCTGTTTCTTTATTGCTCCTCTTCCCCTATTTCTACTCAAGTGGAGCCAGGTGGTCATCACAAGTGAGTAGCATACAAGCCTCCTATTCACTGGCTGAATTGGTTGCCTAGCTTTCAGTCTTGAAAGGAGTTTCTCTCACGGACCATGACTTTCCTGCCTTGATGCACCCAAAGCCTAACGCTTGCTTGAAATTCAAAAAGGCAAGTGGTCATTTTTTCTTTGTAGGTTCTGTCTTCAAATGCAGATCTTCTGTTCTCTCAGTAGTTCTGGTTGGGGCTCAGGTTTTCTACCTAAGCCCCTATACTCCACACACATGGCTTGAAACAAAAGCCTGTGTTTCTGTTGGACAAATTCTATTTTCCCTTTTAACATACCCAGTCAAGTATCAGCTGAAGGAGGACTTACACGCTCTCTGTTATCCATAACCCATAATCATTTCTAATGTATAAGCAGGTAAGGAATATTCAGTACCTCTAGTACAATCAGAGAAACACATAATCCAAAACACATAATCCTTTTGATAACATTCCAGGTTCGTCTCTTCACCTTGATTATCTTCCCTTTCTATGTTTGTGGCCTTGGGCTTTTGGCTGGGTGTAACCAAACGCCCTAGCCTCTGGATCAATTGTGTCCTTTAATAGGTAACATTAACCAAAGTATCCGTCTAAGAATCTAAAGTTTCACTTCCCAGGCCCCTTCCTTCTTTCTTTTACTAAGTCTCATGCTTCTATGAGTCTGGAGCCACTTGCAACAAATCCCACTACTGACACCAACTGCCAAAGAGTCAGGAAGAAGCCATCTCCTGACTGCCTCTAACCCCACAAGAGAAAGACAGAATCACCATCAGTAGCTCAAGGCCTATTCCTGTGAGGCCAGACATGCTGTCTCCCTCCAGCCCTTTCATCAACCCTGATACCACCCGTTCTTCCCACAGCACCCCCCACCTCTCTGTTGGGTTCGATAATTTGCTGCAGTGACTACACAGAACTCACCGATTATGGGGTTTATTAGGGAAGCAACAGGCTACAATTCAAGTTCAGGAACACTCTCTGTCTCTCTCAGCCTACCATCTCTCAGCCAACAGTCTCTCTCAGTCTCTCTCCCAGTAGTGCTTGTCTCTTGGTGTCTATCTCAGCAGTGTGTCTCTCACATCTCTCTCTCAGCAATGCATGTCTCTTGTATCCCTCAGCCTGCAGTGAGAGATTCCTCCTGCCTCTAGGAGGGCTCTTTTGGAGCCTGGCAGAATATCTAAACTAAACAGCCCCAACATCAGAATTCTATACACCTGAGAGAGAGCATACCTCCCAGAAAATTACTTTGTGCTGCTCACAACAGAAATACCCCAGGTGGATAATTTTAACTATCAGGAGCTATACAGTTGCTCATGGGAAGTTCCATCATGGAGTTTACAAAGACTTATGGCTAGAAAAGCCACATTATATAATTTATTACACTGCAGTGGGTTTGAATCTTTGGGTGGCAGCAGAGTAGAAGTGCCCCATAGGGTTTCCAACTCTGCAATCTTTATGAAACCAGACTGCCACATCTTGCTCCAGTGGAGTGGCTGGTGGGTTTGAACTGCCCTTCTTTGAACTAGCAGCCAAGTGCTTAACCACTGGGCCACCAGGGCTCCTTAAGGAACTGAACTGTGGAGGAGAGCAGCTTATTACATTTCACAAAACCCCATATAGATACTTAAAGATATTTGTTATTCATGCTTCTCTGGAAAGGAGTAGTTAGACTTTTTTTTTTAAGTAATACTAACATTCTTGGGAGCGCACCATTATTAATATCAAGGAGCTCTGGTGACATAGTGCCTAAGGCATTTGACTGCTAACCAGAAGGTTGGTGGTTCAAACCCACCAGCCACTTTGCGGAAAGAAGGCTGGACAATCTACTTCCGTAAAGATTTACCTCCTTGGAAACCCAAAGGGGGTTGCTATGAGTTGGAATCGACTCGATGGCATTTTTTTTTGTATTATTAATATCTGGAATATTAATGTGGTAATGGAATGCAATCAATCCAAGGGAACATGTTCATCAAGAGAATTTATCATGTGGATACTGAAGAAGAGACCTTAAAGAAAACTTTGTTGTTGTTGTTGTTGTTACATGCCTCCGAGTCGGCCCTGACTCATAGTGACCCCTCCTTGGGTTTCCAAGGCAGTATCTCTACGGAAGTAGGATTCCCAACCTTAGTTGAATAAAATATTGGCATATAAATATTGCTAATGTTGGTGGGTCTTTAAGTGACTATTTATCACTGCAGCCGGATTACAATTAGTTTAGTTTCTCCTGGAAAGATAGGAAGCCAGTCAAAAAATGGGGGGGGTGGGGGGCGGGAAGAACAATTTTGCCTGATTAGTAACATCTGAAAACTTACCTGACTCTGGCTTTTTAGCACTTGTCTGTCCCAGCTTGTGGTTCACAAACAGGGAAGAATCAAAATTATTCTCTGGTCCAAGGTTTAAGCACTGATACTTTGCTTTCCCTGGAACAGTAATGAAATGAAATGTAATTTTCAAAAATTGAATCTGTATGACCATATTTTAGGATTTACACCTGGAATAGTGTGGAATGTGAGAATTCACTATGACTGACAGTTTAAAATAAAAGATTAAAAATAATTAGCTAAAATAACTAAAAGGAGCTAAACACTAAGAGTCAAATACTCCATCAATCAGTAGTATTTAAATATTGCCTTACTCTCTGCCCACCATTTGGGTAGAAAAAAAGTGGGTGAACTTCAGGATATAATAAAACAATGATATTTGCCAATTTGTTCTGAGCAAACTTGTTGTGTGCCATCGAGTTAACGCAACCTTACAGCAGCCCTGTATGACAGAGTGGGATTGCCCATAGGTTTTCCTAGGCTATTATCTTTAAGGAAGCAGATTGCCAGGTCTTTTCTCCTGGTGGCTGGTGGGTTCGAACTGCCAACCTTTTGCTTAGTGTCACCAGGGCTGCTCAAAGTTGCCTTAGTTGTATATATTTTATAAAATCATCAAAACCTTTCCCTTTATATCTGATTTCTAAAATTGTTCCCTGTCTCAACTTGTATGTTATCTTCAGACCTGCAAGAATTAATATTGATTTTAAGATAACAAAATCCAATTTGTGCTTTTTATCTCAGTTATAAATTTATATTGAGCACACAACTTTATCTTTTTATTTTTGTTATCTCTTTCAGCACAGTGGAGAATTTACAGTCTCTCTCAGTGATGTATTATTGACCTGGAAATATTTACTACATGAGAAATTGAATTTACCAGTTGAAAATATGGAAGTGATTGACCATTATGAAGACATAAGGAAGACTTACGATGATTTCTTGAGGAATAGTAATATGTTAGATCTGATTGATGTTTATCAAAAATGTAGGATTTTGACTTCCAGTTGTGAAAAGAACAACAAGATATCCTCTGTAAGTATTTCCTAACAATTCTATTAGAATCAGATTAAATCCAGCTAGGTTTATTTTTATTGTATCACTTGTTACAGTAACTTGATAATGCTTTTACTTTTGAGGTCTTATTAAGAGTGGAAAATTTAGCTACCTGAAAGAAATATTTGGTGGTAAATTTTTTTGGACTTGTTTTATTTGATCAAAACATAAGAATAGCTTTTTATTAGATCAAAAAATTTTAACAAGTCAGTCCCAGATGCTTGATTTCTTTTTGAATTATGGCAAGGATTAGTTTTTTACTTACTTTCTTGGTTCAGTGTGCACCTGTTCATGTAGCATTTGTTGTATAAATAGTTTTTTCAGCTTTTGGTGGTTTAATAATATGTATCATTACTGAGATGGCTATTGCTTACTTAATTAGACTCTTACATACATGAGTTAACAGACTTCATTGGAATATTCTTTTGCATATATAGATTTATTGCCTTCTTTTTTTGTTGTTGTTGTTGTTGTTATGTGCCGTCGAGTCGGCCCCGACTCATAGCGACCCCTCCTTGGGTTTCCGAGGCAGTATCACTACGGAAGTAGGATTGCCCAACCTTCCTTCCGAGGAGTGGCTGGTGGGTTTGAACCGCCAGCCGTCTGGTTAGCAGGCAAGTGTCTTAGCCACTAAAAGTTAACAGAGTAGCATCTTTGCAGTTTGCTTTTGTCTACATTATTATAAATAATTTTAGAATATACCTGAATGTACCCAGATTTTGCTTAAAGTGTTAAATATTTTTCTTTATATTAACATTTAGTGACTGCCATAAGTGATAATATAATTAATAAGTAGTAAATAATTGCATCTGGCAATAAACATTTTCTTGTATCTTCTAAGATATTAAAATAATTTATTTTATACCTAAGATTTGGAAAGGAGCTCGGGTAGCATAGTGCTTAAGGCATTTGACTGCTAACCAGAAGGCTGGCGGTTCAAACTCACCAGCCACTTCTTGGAAGGAAGGTTGGGCAATCTACTTCCATAGTGATACCACCTCGGAAACCCAAGGAGGGGTCTCTATGAGTCAGATCTGTCTCAACAGCACATAACAACAATAACAACAAGATATGGAAAGAGTGTTTTGGCTGCTTATAATAGAAACTTCCACAGTTACAATGGGTTTAAAGGAAATGAGTTTATTTCTTCTTTATGAAAGATGCCTAAAGGCAAGCAACACAGGACTTGTATGATAGCTCAGAGATTATCCCAAACCCAGGCTCTAGTCATTCTACTCTGTTTTGGTTGCCTAGTGCTGCTCTGACAAGTATATACCACCAGTGGGATGACTTGAACTAACAGGAGTTTATTCTCTTACAGTTTGGAGGCTTTAAGTCCAAGTTCAAAGTGCTGGGCTCTAGGGACTGGGTGAAAGCCCTTTAACCTTGGGCTTCAGCTCTTCCTCCTGCTCCTGGCCCACTGAGACTAGAGGATTTTCTTCACTCAGACACGTGCTGGCTGCTGAGGCTGACAAGCCCAAGGTTGACAAGTAAAAAGGCATAGTCCTGACGTTACCAAACCACATGGCAGGCCATTTATTTAAGTCCATTGAAAGTCCCAAAGTTGGCAGAGCATGGCGGGCTGCTGAACAATGACACGGCTACATGCAGGGTTTGACTGTGCCATAAGCTAGAGACCATTCCCAAAACTGTTTCTTATATACGGAAAGCAGACCACATAACCAAAGGCAGCTACTTAGCTGCTTCAATAGAGTCTACCATGGAGTTAATTACTAATCTCACCCTGGGGAATAACTACATTCAGCCCCTCAGCCATTTAACCTGGCCCAGCCAAGTTGACACACAAACTTAACCACCACAATTCTACCCCTTGTCAACTTGGCACCTGTACAGATCTTCAATGGGTGATATCTGTACAGGTCTCCTTCACTGGGTGACTCCATTCCGTTAGTTCCTGAGTGGCCACCTCACCCCCTTGGTCTGGTGGGCCCATTCCTCTCCCTCTTGGGCATGGCAGCCCCGCCCCCTCACTTTCGGGCAGCAGCTATGGCTCCATCCCACTTGGCTCACATGAATGAGCAGCCCCAGTGCTCCAGAACCGAGTTGGTGAAGGTCTGGCTCTTTGAAACTTAGGGGGCTGTGGTGGTTCCACCCCCAAAGGCCATGGTCCTACCCTTGAGGCTGAGGCAACTCTGCTTCCCTTTTCCTTGGTCTCTCAACCTCTGCCAGTTAATGCCCCAGGGAAACCCACTCTGTCAGAAATCTTCCTACCCAAAGGACACTTAGATTTCTTGCTCTGTGGGCTGGCTAACCTGCTACTCCGTTTCATGCTGGTCTCTTCTGCCAATTAATGCCCGAAGGCAACCCATTCTGCCAAGAAGCCGCCTGTACAATGGCATCCAGCTTTCTCCTCTGTGGGCTGGTAGAGCTGTCGCTGTCTCTTGCTGGTTCTCTCGACTCTGCTCCTGCTGTCTCTCATGCTGGTCTATTGGCTTTGCGCCTGCCATCTCTCATGCAGGTCTTTTGGCTCTGCTCCTGCCATCTCTCATGCCACATGCTGGGGTCTCTCTGCCAGGGTCTCAGCAGGGACACACTCCACTCCTGTTTCCACATTTTAGGTATCTGTCAGAGACGCTCCCCACTCTCTGGGTAGCATATTCTGTTGTGGTTACCTAGTGCCATTTTGACAAGAAAATACCACAAATGGGATGCTTGAAGAAACAGGAGTTTATTCTTTTACAGTTTGGAGGCTGTACGTCTGAGTTCAAAGTGCCAGGCTCTCCGGGCTGGGTGAAGGCCCCTCAACCTTAGGCTTTAGCTCTGCCTCCTGTTCCTGGCCCACTGAAGCTAGAGGCTTTTCTTCACTGGGGCAGCTGCTGGGTGCTGAGGCTGACTAGCCCAAGGTTGACAAGTAAAAAGGCATAGTGCCAATGTTACCAAACCACACAACAGGCCATTAATTCAAGGCCATTGAAAGTCCCAAGGTTGGCAGAGCATGGCAGGCTGTTGAACAATGACATGGCTACATGTAGGGTTTGACTGTGCCATAAGCTAGAGACCATTCCCAAAGCTGTTTTTTATATACAGGAAGCCGACCACATACCCAAAGCAGCTACTCAGCTGCTCCAATAGATTCCACCATGGAGTCATTACCAATCTCACCATGGGGAATAACTGCATTCAGCTGCCCAGCCATTCAACCAGGTCCAGCCAAGTTGACACACAAACTTAACTACCAGTACTCTACCATCTTAGCTCTTAGCCTATACCCTCAAGATCGTGGGTCCAAGATAGCTGTTGGAGCTCCAGACATTATGTTCGTATTCTTTGCAGCAGGAAATAGTTAGGGAGAACAGCACTCCCTTTCTTTTTAAGGATACATAGCTTTCTTTGTATTTCATTGTCAAAAACAGTGGCCACACCAAAGTATTAGGAAGGGTGGAGAATATAGTCTTTATTGTAGGTAGTAACATGCAGGTGGGGTCACTATGAGTTGGAATCCACCTGACGACAGGGGGTATAACATGCAGGGGGTGGGGGGAAGAGGCAGGAGGGAAAGAGAGATATTGGCAAGCAGTTTTCTATCTGTCATTGGATTAGCCTCACAGTAATGTTCTCAAAACGCATGTGCATTTGCATATGCCCACACTTCTGGTAAGGATACATGTGAGCTAAAATAGTTTTTATTATTCTTAGCTTTATTTCATTTGCTTGCTTGTGCTACATAGTTAATATAGAGAGCTCTGGTCGCGTAGTGTCTCAGGCACTTGACTGCTAACCAGAAGGCTGGTGGTTCAAACCCACCAGTCATTCCTCGGAAGAAAGGTCAGGCAATCTACTTCCATAGTGATACTGCCTCGGAAACCCAAGGAGGGGTCGCTGTGAGTTGGGGCTGACTCAGCGACACATAACAACAGTAACGACAACCACAACAGTCAAACGTAAGTGTTGGATTAAAGGAGCAATAAAGATCTTCTTCTGATAAGCCCATGAGGGTATAATCTACCAGAGGTATTTGGACCACAGTGTGCCCTCAGCTAAATCCCTTCATATAAGTACATCAACTCATAGTATGAGCTATACTAAGGTATATGTAATGTAAAAGAGATAGTTGCTTTGGTAGTATTGTTTAAGATAATTCTGCATGGCAAGCTGTCTCCAATGTCAATATGGCTCCTTTGTAGAGCATTAGGAATGAAATCGAAGTTCCTAAGACAGTGGTGTGTAAAGTAAAAATGTTCTGCATTGAAATCCTGGAAACTCACAACTTGATCTCTGATGCTTATGTTTCATTTAGGGAATTTTACAGTGAGAGAAAAACTGACAGGAAAGCACATCCCTAGACTGATTTCTCAAAAATGTGCTAAGTATAACCCTAACTTATACTAACAGTGTCTTTAAAGATATATATCAGAAAATTCTATACACTTTGGAGTTTTGTAATCCTCAATTTTCATGAACTTGATGTTTTCTTTTCATAGTAGTCTCAGTTAGGCATGGATTATGAAGAATTAAGATAAAATTGTTGGTGTTGTTCTTAGGTGCTGTTGAGTCAGCTCTGACACTAAAACAGAACGAAACGCTGCCCAGTCTTGTGCCAGCCTCACAATCCTTGCTATACCTGCGTCTGTAGTTGCATCCACTGTGTCATTCCATCTTGTTGAGGGCCTTTCTCTTTTTCATTGACCCTCAAACTTTACGGAGCATGATAACCTTCTTCAGAGAATGGTCCCTTCTGACAACATGACCAAAGTAGGTGAGTGGCCATTCTCACTTTCAAGGAGCGCTCCGGCTGTACTTCTTCCAGGATAGATTTGTTCTTTCTTCTAGTAGTCCAAGGTACTTTCAGTATTCATTGTCAACACCACAACTCAAAAACATCAATTCTTTGTTCTTTATTCATCGTCTAGCTTTCACATACATATGAGACAATTGAAAATACTATGGCTTGGGGTAGGCGCACATTAGTCTTCACAGAGACATCTTTGCTCTTCAGCACTGGAATGAGGTCTTTTGCA